AAAAAAAAAAGAGGGCTGCATTTATTGAGCACTTACTGTGTGCCAGGAGCCACTCTAAGGCCTTCAGGTGAATTGACTCATTTACTCCGCGTCACTCTGAGCCAGGCGAGACTGTTATCTGTCTACTTTACAGACAGAGAAACTGAACAGCTAAGTGACTTGCTGTAACTCACAGAGCGAAAAGGAGCAAGGCAGCCCCTCTGGGTTCAAACCTTGTGCTCTCTGGGAAGAGGTGAGGTGAGGAGGGCATGGCAGGCAAAGGCAACGGTGGGACGAAGGCTGAGTGAGATGAGCCTGACGTGGCGGAGGTACACCTGCTCTGCAAACTGTAAAGCGCCAGCCGCGTGCCTTTGACCACCAGTCAAGGGCACGGCTTTGCAGTCAGCTGCGTTTGAACTCCAGTTCCACCCACCCCGGCTCCAACGAGCCCCTTGACCTCACTGTGCTTCAGGGTCCTCATCTGGAAAGCGGGGACAGTAAGCTCCAGCTGCACGCTGTCGTGGGCAGCCTCAAGATAATATACTTGAAAGGGTTAGCGCCACGCCTAGCAGCGGACGCTCGGTCAATTCCACTGCTAGAGGGCCGTTTTACGACTGGCTTCCTTCCTAGAAGCTTTCCCTAGTGTCTAAGCGTCAAGGGCTCCGTGTGGGTGTCCAGGGTGTCCAGAACAAGGCTGGGCACCAGGAGGGTCTCGATCAAGCTTCTGTTTATTGTCACCAGAGGTGCCCACATGGAGGGCATTGGTACCACCTTGCCAGGACAGTGCTGGAACTGCTTTGGGCTCTTTTAATACCTAGGCCTCCGGGCCTCAGTTTGTTCATCTGAAAAATGGAGATAACAGCCCAGCATCCACCTCACACGGTTGTTATGAAGACTGAGTGTTTTAGTCCGTGTGAAATGTTGATCACAGCTTGGGGCACATAGTAAGGGCTCAGTGAACGTTATCCGTTATTCTCCGGAGGGTCAAGAAGGCCCTTCTGCTATGTGGTTGAAGTCTCTCCTGCTTTAGGCCTCTTTTTTCTGAATAGGGTCTGGAAAGGAGGTCCAAGGTCCCATCAGCACACTCCACCTCAGGACACAAAGGCCCTAGGAGCCCAAGGTGTGGGGGGGTCAGGCCCCGAGGAAGCTTGGGGTGGAAGGGGACCCTGTCAAATGTGAGCTCCAGATCCTGGAGCATCCAGGCCCAAGGGGAGGGATTGTGGAAAACAGTCTAGGGCAGACCCAGGGCAGCTGGCAAGCAGGAGCCCACCCCTAGCCTTGGAGTTGGACAGGGGTGGGGTGTGCGGGTCTTACCAGCGCTTCCCGGGCTGTGCATCTGCCGCATCCTGGGTCCTCCTTTCCTCAGCACCAAGCTCCAGACAGCTCTGAAGAACATCTGTGTGTGTGTGTGTGTGTGTGTGTGTGTGTGTGTGTGAGTCCTGCCCCACATTGCCCTCTGCCCCTACCCTCAGGGCCCAGATACAGAAACCCTTTTTCACAGGTAGTGGTGGGGTCCGTCTGTGGATTTCGAGGTCACCCTCATGCCCCTGACCCTTCTACTTTTGTCTGCGATCCTGGTGGGGGGAGATGGGGGTCCTAGACATTTGGAGCCCCCCTCGGGAGACCTCAGTGAACCATCTGAGAAGTGGGAGGAGGCCTAACTCCCGGAGGCAGGGTCCCAGCGGTTTGGCGCTGTGGGCCAGGGTTCTGGTCCCAGCTCCAGCTCAGCCAGGCCAAGTTGGGAAACCTCCCTGGGCTGTTTGCTCTCCCTCCCTGAGGAAACTGGGTGGGAGTCCAGGTAGGGAGGGAGCAGGGCCTGGGGCTACCTCTCTTCCTCACAGGGCCATCTGCCAAGGTCTCTGCACAGACGGTCTGGCCCCCACCCCTTCCTCCCTAATTGGCTGCCTACGTGCTCACAAAGCCTGCTCTGCGGTGGATCTGGTGGGGGAAGGGGACAGGCTGAGCCCAAGCCCCCACCCCCCAGGGAAGTCTCAGAGTCTGGCTCCCATGGGGGTGGGGAGGGGCTTTAGAGGAGGACAAGGACCAAAGTGGGTCAGAGGGAGGAAGAGGAGCACACGTTTTGGGGAGAGGAAGGGGGTATCTCACTTCTGGAAAGAAAAAGTACACCCCCCCCCCTTCCCGCATCTGGGGAGAGAGAGGGGCACCCAATAGAGAGAAGGAGGGGGTGTACCATGTGTGGTGAGAGGGGGCCCCCGCATCTGGGAAGGAAGGGCTCCTGTCTGTAAGTGGGGAGCCCCACATTTGAAGAGAGGGAAGGAGTCATCTACATTTGGGGAAAGAGATGGCGCCCCACATTCGGAGAGAGGGTAATTCCCAAGGAGTCCTCAACTCTCAGCTGCCAGGACCCGCCCCCCCCCCCAACCATCCCCCGCTCCTGACCCTACTCGATGGCAGGGACCACACGGATCCTCACCGGTGGCGAAAGCAGGGGTCCAAGCCGCCGCATCCCTCACCCGCCAGCCTTGGGCAGCCAGGCTCTCCCACCCACTCACTCACCTCCCTGCTCAGCGCAGCGAGCTAGGTCAGCCCAACAAGTAACGGAGAATGGGCGGCAGAGGGACCAGAGCGCGGGCGCCCGCCCCCAGGCCCGCCCTACAGCCTTTCCCAAGGCCAACCCCTGCGTGGGAACGTCCTGCCTCAGCGGGGCGTGGGAGCGCCCAGCCCGCGTCCCTGGAGACACCCGGGCCCCCCAGCCCGGGGAGGGGGGGGCCGCAGAGTGAGTCCCCGCCTCGATTTCCCCGCCCCCGGGGGTCCTGCCTCTGGAGACAGCTGACAGCGCCCAGGACCCAGCTGGCGGGGTGTCCTGGGCCGGCCCAGCCCTCTGACTCTGGTAGTCCCAGGAGCTGAATCACCCTCCCTCCGCACCTTTGCTCATTGCCTTCTTTGCACTTGGAATGCTCTCTTAGTGACTTTGCCCAGACCCAGTCTTGCCAACTTTCCAGCCCAGGCTCAATGCTTCCTGCTCCAGCAAGCCCACAAACATCTAGAATCTGGGAGCTGGTCTGTGGTGTACCTACCACCCTGCTCCCATGCCGCCAGATACCCTGTGGGGGTGAATAAAAGCCTCCCTCTGGTGTTCAAATCTTAGCTGTGTGGCCCTTAACAAGTGGCCTAACCTCTTAGGCCTCCTAGAACGAACCTCTGAGTTCCTGTCTTATGTTCTAGAAAAGGGAGCTAATGATAGTACCTACCTGACATGGCTGTTGTAAAGGTTAGATAAGTCAACAGAAAAGCATCAGGTACATTTACTCAAGAATTATTTATTAAGGGGGAGCCTGGGTGGCTCAGTTGATCAAGCGTCCAACTTTGGCTCAGGTCATGATCTCATGGGTTGTTGAGTTCTAGTTCCAGGTTGGGCTCTGCCCTGACAGCTCTGGGCCTGCTTCGGACTCTGTGTCTCCCTCTCTCTCTCTGCCCCTCCCCTGCTCACGCTGTCTCTCTCTCTCTCTCTCTCTCTCTCTCTCTCTCTCTCTCTCTCTCTCTCAAAAATAAATAAATACGCAGTTAGGGGAAAAAAGAAGTATTTATGAAGATCTATTACAGCTGGCATTTATTGAGTGCCCCCAAGGTAAATGCTTGGGGATATAGAGCCAAACAAATCCAAAAACAGTCCCTGGCCTTTTAGGGCTCACAATCCAGTTCCAAGCAGAAAGTCCTGTGCAAAGGCCAAGAGGCAGAAAAACACAGGTGTATTCAAAGAACAGAGAGAGGACATCTTGGCCAGAGTGTGACAGGTAGAGGGGAGAGTTGGAGACGGGCTAGACTCCCAAGTAGGGCCTCAGAGGCCATGCTATGGATCTTAGATTTTATTTTAAAGATGGGAAGCCACCAGAGGTAAGTAGGGGAGTGATATTGTTAAATGGAGTGGAGCATGAGTTTAGGAAATGTGGCGTGGGATTGTTAGAATACTAATGGTGGACTGATGAATGAAAGCTGGGGATCCCTTCTGTGGCCTGGGATCAGAGCTTTCTATGTCTCTCGGCTCTGGGCCTATGAAATGTGTCCAGTGCCCACCCATCCATCAGGGTTCCTCTAGCCAGTGAGGCCACAGGGACCTGCTCTAGCCAGTGTCTGGAGGGAGGGGCTTAATCCCCAGGGGGTAGATGAACCTAGAAGGGCAGAGACTCAGGGAAGGTGCTAGAGAGACCCTCGGGTGGGCAGGATGCACATTTCCATTCTGAACTTCAGCAGCAACAGACACAAAGCTGTGAGAAGGCAGTGTGGGACTCTCCTGGATCTCCATGAGAGGAAACCCTCAGCTCCCAGGATTAGCCCTGGTTACTCCTGGGAGCTGTCCCACCCTCTTCCCCATGACCAAGGGAATTCCAGGTTTGAGCGACCCCTAAGAGGACCACCTTACCTCTTCGATGCTGACCAGGGTGTCCTGAAGAGTAGCCCTACGGACAAAGGATCAGGGAACACCCTCCTTCAGGCAACCTGGGGAGAGCACGCCTTAAGTCCGGTCAGAACTTTCCAGGGGCAGGCAGATGCCTGCTGCGCTGGAGAGAATGGCTGGTGTGTAGGCTTTGCTGCTGCCGTGCTGGTAGCCAAGCTGTGCCATTTGTGGGCCTCAGTTTCCCCATCCCTCACAGGACTTTACAAGGAAAGGCCTTTGGGGAATATTCTGCCCTGCCCTCTCCCCCACCCCAGCTTCTGTCCGAACTCTAGGCACCAGATGTGGGGCGATGCCGTGATGAGGAACATCTGTAGGAGAAGCCGGCTTGGAGGCAGGCTTCCGGTGGCTCAAGACTGGTATAAGGCAGCACAACCTCCTGCGGGGTGATGGCCCCGAACCTGGAAATAGTCGGGCTCCCCCATAAGGTAGGTCACCCAGGGGCCCCAGGGGCCCCCGGGGCCAACGAGCAGGAGTCTTCCCTGGGAACCTTGGAGGGCACTGGAGGGGAGGGGCTCGGATGGGGCCTTACAGGCTAGTTACTGCGATGGACCCTACACGGGAATGCAGGGTGGGGTTGCAGAAACTGCAGGAAAGGGAGATGAGCGGACTCTGCCCCTTTCCCCCTGGCCCCGCCGCTCCGACCCTTCAGTGGGAGCCTACAGAAAGGGGCAGCCCTTACTCGTTTTATCAGATCCAGGGAGCTCCCGAGATTCTGCCAAGATACAAAGACCTGAGCCACGTCCCCAGCATCCTGCTGGTAGGACCCCCAACCCCTCTTCCCCCACAGACTATTCAGGCTTCGGACAGGACCATTCCCAGAGGGAATACTGAGGAGGACCTAGGCTTCGCGAAGGACCCGAAGACGAAAGTAGGAAAAGGCGTTGGACAAAGCGTCGGGGCCCCCTGCCCCCAGCCCCTCGGGAGCCCCGGGAGCCTGTTGAACCAGCCGAGATCTGGGACTGGAGGAGCGGGACGGGGGAGATAGGGAGGTGGGTGTCGGGGAGAGAGGGGCGGGGCAATGCAAGGGTGGGTGGAGCTTATTCTTAGGGGCGGGGACTGTAGTGTCAGAACTGGGACTGGAAACGGAAAACCTAGGGGACCTAAGCAAGGGGGGCCAGTTGGGCGGGCCTGGTGAACAGAGGGGGCGTGGCCAGTATCGGGGGCGAGGCCTATCCCGCTCTGCCGCAGAAAGGCGGGCTAATTAATGGCAAGGGCCTGTGATTTCGGAATCCGCCGACCCACAGCTCCAGGGGCCAATCCAGAAAACGCTTCGGCAACTGTGGGCCGAAGGGCCAGGTCAGAACAAACGCCGAAACAGAGCTGCCACAGAGAAGACCGCTAATGACAGTTTTTCCGGTCCTGGGGACGACGCCTTGCCTGGATTTCGCTGGGACGGGAAGGGACTGTTGGCCTGGAAGGTGGAGGAAACCTCCTTTGGGCGGGTCTGACCACTCTGCACAGCTCCCGTCCCAGGGCAGAAGTTCCCGGAGGAGGGGGCGGTGCTGAAGGTGGGGTCCGGCTGGTGGCAGCAACGGCGACCGGTCCCCCCACTTTGCACACGAAATGAGCGAAGCTAGCGGTGTTCGGCGGAAGGGGAATTTTTTGCAGAGCTGCAGAGGCGATGTTTGAGACCGACCCCTCTGGCTGTCACTCATGGCCCCTTAGCCCCGCCCCGGAGGCGTCAATCCTCTCGCCCCGCCTACAAGCAGTCCTCATTCCCGGTCCCGCCACGTGCCCTGTCACTCATACTACACCACCTATGTCCCGCGTCTCCTCCCTCCTTCCCCGGCCTCGGGCTGCCGGTCGTCCCTCCCCGACCCCTCGGACAGTCTTTGTGTCCCCCTCCTGCTGGGCTCCACCTGGCTGTCCCCCGCGCCGTCTGCAGCCCGACCCCGTCCTGTCAGTCATCCCTGGCCCCGCCCAGCCCCGCTGGCCTTCGGGGCTTACCCGGCCGCTGGCCTCCCCCCTACCCTGAGAGGCTCCTCCTCTATCACTCAGCCCCTGGCCGCCCGGGCCCTGTCCGTCTCTCCGGCCCTGCCTTCACAAGCCACACTAGACCCTTGCCCTGGCCCCAGGCTTGCTCTTTCAGTTCTCTCTGGCCCCCCGCACGGCGACCGCCTCCACTCCCTGACCCTGCCCGCGCTGTCGTCCTGCCGGCCGCTTCACGCGTCCAGCCCCGCCCCCTCC